GGGGGGGACTTTGAGACTTGAGCCTTTGCAGACCATTTACATGCACTGACCTAAAACCTACATATACACAAATAATACTTATTTTTAAGGTTGACTTTACAACATCTGTCTAATGACTACAGAGGATATTTGCCTCTTGGGTTACTTGTCACATTTACAGAAATATCTAAATAAATGAATAAATAATAAAACGTCCTTGTTGGAGGAAGGGTGACTCTTTGTAGGATCTAGCATCACACCACGCTTATGCTGGGGTCCCATCCTGTAAATCCTCCTAACCTACAAATGGGAGGATTTGTTTAGGCCTGCAATGCCAGGCTGGACTGTTTTCCAGTCTTGAACACACACGCACACACAGAAAAACACACACACACTCATGCACAGCTAAATCCCTGGCAGTATAGGAGCTCATTACATTACAGAGACCCAATCCCTGATGGCTGTTTACAGCTGTCGCAAATGCTTCGTCCTGCACAACACCTGTCTGCAGCATGTAATCGTTAGCAGCCGTTTAACTCCCCGGCTTATATGGTCCAACGTTAGCCCAAAACAGAGTACTGTAAACTACGTGAACAGTGACACACACACACAGACAGTACATACAACATGTACTAACACCTGGCAGTAGCATGCCATCTTTAACAGGCATTTCACACATCCCACGGCCCACCGCTGCGCTGCAGCCAAACCGCAGTGAGGTTATAAAGTGAACACAGCTGCAGTGGATCCTAACACACACACTTTGACACAGCGAGACACAGCTCAGGAGCTCAAGGCCACAGAAACAAAGTACCACCTTGGACAGTTAAACAAAACACTTTTGTTCACAAATGAAAACCTGGATTCATATATGACCATTAGCTTGTGGTGGCTAATGTTGGATTAGAATAGAATAGAATACAATCCTGTATTGTCATTATACAATGAGATGAGTAGAGCTACTCCTTTTTTTTTTAAAGGTGCCATCAAAAATACAAAAACCAACAAGAGACGTACAACATTCAGGAGGAGACAACATACAAACAAGCATTCATACTTCAATATTCAGATCAAGTTAAAGTGCAGGAATATATCAGTTTAAGTCAAATAAATAATAATAATAATAATAATAATAATAATACATTACATTTATAAAGCGCTCTTCCTGGTGCTCAAAGCGATAAATATGTTTGAATGTGTATAAATATATATATAAATTGCGTCACTGCATGCTGGAGTTCAGTGCAATTATTGCTCTGGGGAAGAAACTGCCACTTTAGACAGATACTGCGGTGTTAGTAATGTTATTGAGCCACCGAATGCTTGACTAATTGCTTCTTGAGCTATGCAACACTATATTTGACCATTTACTTTTATTATCACCTCTGCAAGGGAGATTTCAGTTTGGTTTGTTGGTTTGTTTGTCTGTTTGGCAGCAGATTTAGGAAAAAAAACATCCTGATTTTCATAAAACTTGAGAGGAGGAAGCATTGGCCAAGGAAAACAAATTAAAATGTTGGACCTGATCAGAATCGCAGGGCGGATACACAAATTATTTTTCATTTATGTAACCGGCCTTGGTGGGAGGCTTTCTGAAGCCGTTCTAGTTGCCATTATTTTTCTCACTTCTGGCTAACTGGCTGCCCTTAAGCAAAACGTACATCATCTTGCCTTAATCATTACATAGATGATATGATTCTGCAATATCAATATTTTGTTCCCACATTCACCCAACCATGTTTAAACGATTTCATCACTCTCACTTGAGAAATTATTCGAGGTCTTGGCTTTAAAAATCAAGTATTATTTTTCTTTATAATGAATGTGTGCGGTCCCTCCCCTTTAATCACCTATTGTAAACTTTACTGACTTGGTAAGCTTCACAAATGGCTGAGAGGCATATTTGCTTTGGCTTCTAAAGATTGGGAATTCCTCTAAATGGTTCGCCAGGTCTGGCATGAAAAGTGTTTTCCAGACTAGATTATCCAAGAGATAATTGGACAAGTTCCTCTCGGGCCATTTAGGGCCGACTATTTTTACAGCAAGAAGTCAAGTTGAATCATTTAACAAACAAGAACTTGGTCAATTTCAGCTGAGATTAATTATTTAAAAAGCCTGATGGAAAACATTGTTGATGTCAAGATAAATTGAGCAGACTGGTAAAATATAAGAGTGAAACATTGGTGGATTGGTAATGCGTCAGGGCCACAGAGTGATGACTCCTTTAAGATGATGATGATTGGATCCATTTTCTGTAATCGTCCCAGTGTCACCACAGCAATCACCGCACAAGATTTAGTAGAGATTCCACGAATGTGACACATATGGTATTCCTAATTAAAAACGGGACACTTTATCAGTGCTTTAGAACACATATTTGGGTATCTGGAGTGCATACCAATCTAAAAAGTGGGAAATATGACAACCCAATCAGTTTTTGTTGGCTGTTCAAACAGTCATTTAGGTCTGGCTCCTCTTCCTAAGTCGCTTGCAGGCCAATTCGAAATGAACGTGTCCCATGTGAGTATCTCGACCAACATCCTAAAAAATTACAGTTGAGTGTTTAAGAGACATACAGGAAAACAAAGCATTTCAGGGGGAGAGAAACATTTTTTATCTAATAGAAACCCAAAATGTAAGTATGAACCTGAAATGGGTGTAATAAGTCCGCTGCAAAAAACGTCACTTCCTGCTCCCCTCTATGCATTTTTCAACTTCCCTTCCACATTAGTTGCAGCTAGCCAAGGAGTGATAAATGCAGTGAAAGTGGACGTTTTTCTCACACTCTTAAAAAAGCACAAGACAAACAGAGGAGAAGACGGAGTGAGACCATGTTTCTCAACTCACTAAAGGTCAGACATGAGCAAGTCATCAACTGTTGTGCTGGAGACCAAAGCCTGAAACAACACAGAGGTTGCTGAGAGTCACGGCATGGCTCTGACTTTGTGACGGAGCCTGGCGATTCAGACAAGCAGAAAGCAACAAATAATCAGATAATCAGAAACAAAGGCCAATAATCCAGCCTAAGGTCTTAACAGGACTCTCCCACTGAAAACAAGACAAGCACGCACAAAAGCTTTTATGAGAGATCTCGAGTTTCTAAAACAACAAAACTTCTTTAATTGAGTTTTTATTAGACCCAAGAGATATTAGTGCACAAGGAAGAGATAACTGAAGATCAGGAAGCTGTGTGCTAACGTTGCATGTTTTTATATCTGTCCTGACATCACCCCTGAATGCAACACATGCAACAGTGTCCTTCTATGACACCATTCACACAGTCTGCACAACAAATACATGACGTGCATCTTTCCAATGAAGCTCATCTGTGGGTGGTTTAAGGCTTTGTGAAAGTCAAAGAGGCTGATACTGTTGATACTGTACTAATCATGACAACCAACTTATTTTAAAGGGGACCTATCATGCAAAATGCACTTTTGTACGTCTTTTATACATGAATATGTGTCCCCGGTGTTCCAGGGAACTCACCAAGTGTCAGAAAACACAACCCTCTCTATTTTCCTCCATACCCAAATCTCTAAAAAAAGGGGCTGCAACGGATCTGATAAAAACTGATCCAGATTTGAACACTTTCCTGACGTCAGGACGGTGGCGCTACGGCTATTGGGCCAACTCCACCAATCAGGAGGAGACAGCCACGGCCATTGCCGTTCGAAAGCGCTGGAGACGCTGTAGTACATATGCCAGGCCTGTAGGTGGTGCTGTTCTCAGGCATGGCTAAAATGCTAAAATGCTAAAAAAGTATAAATATGCCTTATATAGGTATGGTCCTACACTATATTATTCAAATATAGCATGATAGGTCCACTTTAAGATAACATTTTTTATATTCAACTACCAAGCAGCGGCCTCTTTTTAAAGTGAAAATCAGTTTGCGTGTTGACAACATGGCCAAATCCTTCAATGTAATGTTGTATATTTTGGCCTCATTTGTATCTTCCCAGACTGACATGGCCCATTAAGTTTAATATATTTTCCTTCAGTATGGAAAAATCGTCACCATCTTAAATAATAAAAAGCACTTTATTTTAGTTTCACGCAGAATTTAAAAGTAATGGTTTGTGAAATTAAAATAAATACAAAAAATGGGGAAAGATGAGTGATTTTATGATGGGCAGGTTCCAGTCCAAGTGTGAACATGGTAACCACAACATCATAGTTACAAAGGGCAAGTGCACGCACGCACGCCCATGGAGCAACTAAAGCGACTGCAGGCAAGTCCCCGCATGTCAAAGCAGACACATGGAGACACTTGAATGTACTATGTAGTCGTATGAAGGAGTATGACCTTCAAAAGATCTGGTAAGCAACTAAATCTGGTGATCTAAAAAATATAAAATACAATATGTCACGGATGTCAAGAATGCTGTGTTTGAGCAATCAGATCTCCATTTCAATCTATAGGGTCTGGGAACGTGACACTACTTCATATATCTACTGATTGGCTTTCTTTGTAAACAACATCCCATTTGTGCAACCAAAGGGAAACATGGAGTACCGCCCTATGATTGTGGATGTAACCTATGAAGCTAATCTGAGTGGCCTGTAAACATCTCAAGATCTGATCAAATAAAAGGTTTATGTCACGTGGCTAGTGGACATATAAAGAGAGATGTATGGAACTGTCTGGAACCAGAGCCCAGTCTGCTCTGATTGGTTAGCTGGCCGGCTCTGTTGTGATTTTGTCAACCGCTTAGAGATGTCCCGCCCCTTAGCCTATCACAAACAACGTGTTGGAGCTCTAGCCAATAGAAGCGCAAGTGTTACATAATGATGTCATTATGTTACACAAGTAAACAAAGGAGTCCAATGGAGGTGTTTCAGGCAGGGGGGGGGGGGGGGGAGTGTGTGAGAGAAACTCCCTCTGGAGGGAACTTTGAATTTTAGCCTTTGCAGACCATTTACATGCACTAAAACCTCTCATGTACACCCCCCTGTGGTAATACCTCAGTGCAGCTGAACAAGTAGGAAGAGTAAAGAGATAAAGAGTTTGGACTCACATCATCATCTGAGGAAGGGGAGCGAAGCGTGAGTGAGACCGACGGAGGCGCAGCGAGGGGGAAGGGCCTGTCCTGGGTGAGCGTTGGCATGGCGACCACATTGGCGGTGATGGCCCCTGCTGTCTGGATCTGAAGCACCTGGGTTGGCTGAGACAGCACTATGGGACGTCCTGAGAAAGAGAACGAAACACATACACATTTTTAAATGACAGGTCTTAGCCATACTATAATCATATTTTGACTGTGTGATTACCACTGAAAAACTCTGTGACTGTGATTATGTGTGTCAGTTTGTTTTCATGTTTAGGTTCTTGTCCCACATTTGTTTTGCCATCTTCAACAAACACATTCAACCTGATATTCTATGCAATCTGGAAGCAACATCAGTGTGCCTGAGAAAGACCCTCCTGCAGCAGATGGTAAAGTCCAGCTCCTTAAACTCCCCTCACAACTGGTGACCTACATTAACCCCTTGTCTTTAACGGGAATCTCTGTGTTTAAAGTACAGGTGGAAAAGATGTTTACCATCGTGACCTATGGTCTTGAACTTCCACATTCCAAACTGAGAGGTGTGCAAGGTTTATGTGTAGGAACACACATAAACCTGTGTGCTGACACACGTTCAAAATGGATTATGGTGTAAAAGAAAAAATGCAGCACCTTCAAAAACATGATATTCTCCATGTTTATAAATGTACTGTTAATGCAGGAGCCTACCAGAGTGTAACGCACCCCTCCCAGTGAGATTGTGCCAGGAACCATTCCTCAAACGGACCGAGCAACCTCTAACACTAAACAACCCGTCATTACTAATCGTTAGCCAGACTTGCTAATGAATGTCTGGTGCCAACAAACAAGATCAATATCTGCGGCTGTGGCTCAGTGGATAGGGTGCTGGACTTCGAATCAGGGGGTAGCAAGTTCGAGTCCCATTGCAGTCAGCATGTCGTTGTGTCCCTGGGCAAGACACTTCACCCCAAGTGGTTCCTGTGGGGATTGTCCACAGTACTGAATGTATGTAAGTCGCTTTGGATAAAAGCGTCTAACAAATGACATGTAATGTAATGTAATATCTTTAAGAAACATTTATGAGAATGAAATTAAAAGAAATGTAATACCTCAGGAACACCTGTCTGTTTTTATAAATACCGGTCAAACTCAATAAAATGTAGCTCATCAGTAAATACCTCCAATGCCTTTCCTCCATCTGCCAGTATAAAGCCCAGAGCTCACTCCTCAGCTGTGAATATTTCAGAGATCTTAAATCATGGAGACTCGTAACACTGAGCAGGCTTGACTTCCAGCCGGGGCCCTAAACTTGGATAACTTGGCTTAAGCTATCTGCCATCTTGGCCCTTACCAGGATGACAGTTGAGCCAAGTTTAAACTCAAGTGGAGGGAGGTCAGATGCTCCACCCTCCTGGGTCCCAGGCAGTGACATAAGTATTTACGTTGGCCTAAGTGCTGCTGATGTAACCAGATTGGTTAACTGGGGAGGCTAAACCACGAAAACAAAATAATTGTTTTTTTTTCCCTTTCATGAACAAATTATCATAATAGCTCATGAATAGTGTTTGGTTTAAATGTGGGTTATAAAACAAACTTTCTCGCTTGTTTATCTATAAAGGCTGATTCCCAGCATTGTATTATTTCTCAACCGTAGCCCAAATGTAGACATATTTTGTTTAAAAAAGAAGAATTATACGCTTTTAATGTTTGATTTACTTGTTATAATTTAACCTTTAATGATTGCAGCATGGAACAGTGATGACTGAAGCTCACTGATGAGAATAAACTAAGGTTAAAGCACCATCTGCTGGCCAACACACTACAATTGAAATGATTATCTAAGCAAGCATGACAACGAAACTCATCAGACACAAACAAACAGTACTTATAATAGGTTGTCTTTAAATTTAAATGAGTTACAAACAACTCTAATTAGAGAACAACAATTGTGCTTGGTCACAATTCCAGTGCAGTGATCTGATGCAATACAGTGTGAAGTGATGCAACGTGTCTCTGTGTGTTGCAGTGAGAGCTCTGACCTGGAGGGGGCGCTGGTTGGATGCAGATCGGAGCTTGTTTGATGACAGGCAGCACAGTGGTCTGCAGGGGCTGGATGATGATTGTCTTTGTCTGCAGGGGGGCAGCATGAGCGAGGGGCACAGCTGTAATCAGGGGCTTCGGCTGGATGGAAACCTTTGGGCCAATCTGAATCGGCCTCTTGATTGGCTGAGCTTGTCTGGCTGTTATGTGAATGGGGGGTTGGGTGGAGTGAGAAGAGGAAACAGTATTCAGGTTAATACAAGGAAAGGTGGGAACTAGTGGAGTACAAAAACTTCGTTACTGTACTTAAGTACATTTTGTTCTGGTATCAGTACTTTACTCCATTACTTATTTTTCTGACGTCTTTTTACTTTTACTTCTTACATTTTCCAAACAGGCTGGTTCCTTTAGTTTGAATATGTGTTTGGTGGCGTGATCATTATTATTTAGAGTCATTGCGTGCCTATTGATTTGAACACGATCCGTGTATCCATCATTTCCTGGTCTTCTCTAAAGAAGAGGGACCAATGAAAACGTTGTCATGTTGCCGTTGTTTAGCATGGAAACATTCATTAGCTAACAATGACATTATTGTTCTATTAATATAAAGGGAGGTCAGGTACTCTTTAAAACAGCTGCTAGTTATGGGTACTTTTTACTTAAGTACATTTCAAAGCCCATACTTCTTTACTTTTACTTGAGTAAAGAAGTTTAGTCAGTACTTCTACTTTTACCAGAGTATTTTTAAACACGAGTATCTGTACTTCTACTTGAGTAAAGGATGTGTGCACTTTTGCCATCTCTGAATACAAGGAAAGGCTGGTTCTAAGCTCAGGTGAGGAAATGTGTATTTTTAGGAGCAAGTTCTTTTCCAACATTTTCCAGTATGTTTTTACTGAGAGAGACTAGTTCTTCTTTGTTCGTTGGGTTAATTACATCCCAGAATGGTAAAAGTCCAGAGATCAAAAATCCCCACTGGATTTTAAACAAAGCGTAGAAACATATTTGACAGCTGCTGAGCGAGCAGATGTTTGGTGGTGGAGCTTCCTCACCTCGTGCCGTCTGGCTGTTCCTCTTCGGAGCTTTCTTAGCTGGAGGAGAGTTTACAGAATAGCTGCTGGACTCTGAGCAGAAGGAAACAGGAGAGAGCTGAGATTGTGGAGAGAGAGCCTCGTCCTGGAGGGGAAACAGAGAAGATTGCTGCTATTAGATATTGGACCTCTTTTTTCTAGACATCAGAAGTGAAAAAAAGCATGGTTGTAATCCTGTGGCAACGTCATGTTAACCCCTTTAACAGTAGCACTGAATAATTTCAAATCAATGTCTAATGGCAACCACTTAAGACATATATAATTACAAAAGCATTTCTGATTTTTGTGGGAAATTGTAATATTTGCAACATTAATCTAATTTGGATTTAAAAGAATATACAAACGATCTTGGTATTATTGTTGCGAGGATCGGTACCATACACAAAGGTGTTTTAAGGTGTAGAATACAATTTTAGGCCAGGACATCTTTGCAGCACCAAAATACTTTGTTAAGAATGGCGAAATTGACAAAATTGCACCTCCTTAAATGTGGATATTGCACTTGTCCATATTGACACTTTGATACAATTCTGATAACTTGATCAACCACTTTACAAAGTTGAATTATTATGACTTCTGCTGCTCAAAAATGCATATTTGTAAGCTGTGTCAGTTTTTGCACAAGGGCCTAATATTGTCAACCAACAGGCTTCTAATAAGCACATTAAGTCATAGTAGCTTTTGGGTCGTGAATGATGCTAGCCTGCAGTTGTCATTACTCATCAACAACCTTCCCAAGAAAGTAGAGAGCACTATCTGACAAAATACAGAATGATTGCTGTCACATCAGATGAAATATGACTCTAGTGTCCTTGTCACTATTCAAAGACTCCAGTAGACACATGTGTCCTTGGATTCAGTCAGGGTGATACAGTAACAGAGTATTGGTGCACACATAGTTGGGGCTAGACAAAGATGTAATCCCTGTCCTTGTTTTGACACACTGTGAAAACATCTGCCCGCTAAATTATGCAAATGTGGCTAAAGTTGTCAGCACCTCATATTTAACGAAGGGGCGGGGCAGCGCTCAGGCGTGCGGCAAATTATTAACTTGACAAGGTGTTTAAGGCTTTTGTTAATAAGTGTCTAAAGTGTGTATCCAAAAGTAAAGAGCAGCTGTTAATGTTTGGACACCATCTGGATGGAGCTTTTACTTGTCCCAACTGCGCACCAAGAGGGGAGCATATTTAAATACCCACAGCCGATAACAATGGTACACATTTGCATTGGAAATACAAGTGAAATACCCAAAAAACTGAGGAGGTCACAGTGTTGAAGACAGTGACTTACTTGTAGGAAGTATGGGGACAGGGCCTCCACAGAGCCAGGGGAGGGGGCGGAGCTCAGAGTGTGAGCAGGTGACAGAGAGTCCACGCTCACCTCACCATCTGGATGCACAAGGACAAAGACGACAACAAATCTGTCACATATAGAGGCTTATCTTCTTAGGCAGAAAGGATTTACTATCACTGTTTATTTCCACACATACATTCAACGATAAACCCTTTCTATATCCTTTGGTTAATTTAGCATAAACCACTGTGTCCAATTTATTCACACTTCAGGGTTTCAACATCTTTTAACTTTGAAATCCAAGCACTTTCAAGAAAGACTAAATTAAACATTTCCAGACTCAGGTCATCAAAGCCTTCATCATCACATTAAAATTGTAACTATAAATGCAAGTTGGCAGAATTACTTTGTACCCACATCAATCTATCACACTCCCACACATGCACACAAACACAGGAGACAAGTAGCCTAAAGAAGTTCATCTTCACCATGTGATCAAGACTGTCATAGCAAATCAAATCATGAAGCAGCCATGTAAACATTAAATGTACAAATTAAAGTCACTTGTTTTGTTTCCTTATATTTCGCACAAATGAAAGGCAATATAGAACTGCTAGTACTCTTTCCCAAATGTAGATAATTAGACTTTTTTTATTTATTGTAATATTGAGTTAAAAAAAAATGCTTTCAATAATTGGTCTATTGGTTATACTTAATACTTCAAGCTTCAGAAAACAAAAGTTTACCTAAGAATATTCTATCCGCCAAATCACATTACACAGGTTACATCATGGAAAATATATAAGAGATGGACATTGGAAAGTTCAGACTTTTCTTATTTTATGCTGAAAGGTGATAACCATGTCTTCACAGATGTCAACATGTACCTGTGCAGCTGCTCCTGTCAACTTCCTTCCACGGCAGTATGTCAATGTCAAAGTCCAGGTCTGGACCCTCATTGGCCTGAGACATCAAAGAAACACTTTTAAAACAAAAGACTAGCAGATTGGGAAAAGATGTCTGACCAACAATCTGAGTAATGTGCATATAATAATAATAATAATAATAATAATAATAAATACCGCAATAAACCGTATTTGATTTTGTATAAATTTACATTATTTAATTTCATATTCTGATCTTGTACATATCCCATATTCTATTTACATGTATATAGACTTTTTGCACTACTTTTTATTTTATGATATATGTTGCATTGTTGGACGAGCTCAGGTCAGAAGAATTGTATTGCCATTTCTACACTGCAGCTTTGTGCATGACTATAAAACCTTTGAATCTTTGAATAATCACTATATATTTTGTTGTTCACTGAGCCATGCATTTGTGACAATTGCAGAAACAGGGACCATTGCCAATAATTCCTGTTAGTCTCTTAAGTATTCCTGAGTACACCTGACACCTACAATGTAAAACATGCTGTTGTTCCTGTATCACATTTCCTTACATGTTTTACAATGTTAGCTAATAGTGCACCTGCAGCTGTGGCTCTCCCCGACGGTTAATAACCACAATCATTTGAGTTTCAGGTTGACAAAATACATTTGCATACTGAGAGGAAGAACTACTCACATAGCTGCCATGCTCCAGGGCCTGAAGCAGCTCTTCTGCATCTCCCATGTAGTCGAGCTCATCAAACAGGCTAATGTCTGTGGAACAACAAGCATGAAACATCTAGTCAAACTGCGGTCACACAGATAAACAGACGAATCATGGCTTTAGATTTCACATATCATGATTTATCCCAGCAACAAATGCACTCATATATCTGTCTGATTAAAACAAATATCCAATTTGGGTATGAACTGGCAAATAAGGATAGTGTAAAGTAATTGACGCTGTTACTATGTAGTTGTTTAACTGTGGGCATTGTGTCCATAATTCATGTTTATTTATTTTTAACGTCAGTGCTGATCAAAACTACCAATTTTTACAATTTCGATGTCCGATAGTTCACATGATGCAACTGTATTTTATTTAAATAATAAAAACTGAACAAAAATATTTTCTGTAAAATAAATGCTAGGGGAAAATGTAAATAATAAATGTCAGGCTCAAATGTTTTTGGCCTATTGTTGATAATCAGTCGCTGGTTAATTTGGAGCTGTGGCTCGCCAGTTCAACATGTCGAATCTGAGGCCAATTATGACATGAGATTGGGGGCAAAAATAAATCCTTCGGGTTGGTTGCTCAGCTTCGAAAAACAGCGGCCTAGCGACAGACAAACGGCTGACGCAAAGAGAAGATGGCAAACACTATTTTCATTAGACATCTTTATGTCATATGATAATTGGGTACCACTTCACAATAAGACTACCCTTATAAAGGGTTCACGAATAGTTTGTAATTCATTTATTAATTAGGTTGTGAATACTTTATAAATCATTAATAAGCTTTTATAAGACATGAGATAAACAGGGCAACTGTGACCGGTTGCTTGCCAAATAGTGAGCCCACATTTATCTGTACTGCTAAGTCTTATATTGGCTATTTAGCTTACTTCGTCTTCTTCATTAACCAGCATCCTTGGTATCTGTTGTTCACTGAGTTGATTCTCGCTAAGTAGCGAATATGATGTTAGAACTGGTTTATAAATGGTTCTTAATGATTAATAAAGTGTTTACAACCTAATTCATAACCTAATTATAAACCCTTTATGAATCCTTTATAAGGGTAGTCTTATTGTAAAGTGGTACCCGATAATTCTAACTGTCGGATATTAGGCTAATTGGTGAGTTCTTGTTCTGAAGTTAGAATCATAAGAACCACTAAATTCTACTATTTATGTATCAAGTCTACATAATGCCGCCACCTGGTGGCATCTATCATGTTTCCAACCCAGTTGAGATTAAACCACGCCCACGTCTGCATTAGCGTAGCTTTGCACGACTGCGTCACGGATGTATAAAGAGAACGCAAACAAAAGAAAAATAATAATAAAGGAAAATAAAATAAAAAATGTTTTATAATAATAATTGAACAAATAATTTATTTTAAAAATATATATTATATATTAATATTGAACGATTAATCAACATTTATTCAGCTATGCATAACTGTGATCTTATCTCACATTTAGAAGCGACTGTAGCTGTCAAATTCATCTTCCGTAGGAAAACGCAATCGTCAAGCGGAAGTGGGCGTGATTAAATCAAAACTGGGTCGGAAAAACAACAGACGCCGCCGTGTTACGGAAAGTTATTTCCTGCCACGCATGCGCAGAACATATGTGATATTTGTCGGTTGGCAGCCTTCACACTAGAAAAAAAAAGAAACTGTAAATGTATGCAATCATTTATGGCATTCATAATTAATATCTAATTCTTAACTGTAAATTGTTTTCATGTATTTAACATTAGAAATGTATTAGTCTGGCCAAACTTTTTCTGTTGAGATTCCTGGAAAGGGATATGACTTTTCATAAAAACAGTTGATTCAAGAACAAAACTCTGTTATTAGATCAGTAGGGACGTCAAGTGTCCTGTTTGGTTTGCCGTACGTAGCTGTCCAATATGGCAGACCAACTCGCGCTTGCGCAGTGCAAATCGGGCAGACATGCAAATCGGGTGGTCAGTGAGACTGGTTCAAATCCTGGTTCAAAATTCGAATGTTGTGCTCGGTCAAAACTTGTTATTTTATGCATCAGCACCTTGTATCTAAAGTGTATGGTCAGGACCTTAGGCATGTTCACTGTGTGTATTATGTCTAGGCGTATTGCTGGTTATTTTTTCACAAAACAGCCAAACCCAGCAGGTCTCATCCATCAACATCTACTACAGCGAACGTAGCTAAGCTCAATGCTATCTGTATTTAAGACTCAAAGCACATGATAACAAGACATCTCTTCACGTATGTAAATACAGTCTATGGTAAGTCCGAGCGTTGCAACTTGTCACAATATGTAAACTAAATGCACCTTTATACTAATAAATATATCTGATTTGGTTACCTAAATGTTGTTAAACTCTGCTTCACTCTATGGGTCTGTCTGTCTATGTCACCTGACGTCAATTTAACCATGTTAAATAGCCTACTATAACAGTCACCTTTAGCTTGTTTGTTTGTTAAAAACCACAGCAATATCGGTATACCTTTAAAACAGTACAGTATACCTTTACAGCCCTACAGTATACATGTTATTATAAAAGACAAATAAAACCGTAAACAATGCTAAAAATTCAAAAACATCACCTGAAAAATACAACTCACAGCCCTGCCATGTACATGAAATAACTTAGTACAACCACATTTATCAAACAAATAAAAAGCCAAAAATGGGTTTTTAGACTTTGTGTCTGTTTAAAGCCTCATTAATGGTTATTATTTACATTACAGATCAGGCTCAGCAGGTTACATCAGCACATCATTTCCTTATACAGCTAGCTAACGAAATGCTAACTGTATTTGCTATGACATGAAGTGGATGTAAACAGTACAACATCAACCTTCCGCAAATGTACGAGTGTCTTTTTAACGGCAACCTTGTCACAAGATACAGTTAAGAGTCATATATATTTATATTTATTATGTATATCTGATCTGTTACCTCAATTAAAAGCTAGCTAACGCTTCTTTCCTGTTTGGGTTAACTTACCCCACTCTCCTCCCTGGTCGATAGACATTATCCCTGTTTCACTATCCATCCCGGGGTCTTTTTGAAGATTTTCTAAGTATAACGCCAAGTTGGTCGACATCCTGTTTACAATTCATGAGTCTATTGTCTCAGAAAAACAAGCGACGGCTCATAGGAATCATTCATGTTGCAGCTGTTTAGGGAGGAAATGTCTTGATAGATACACGTCTGACTTAACCGTAAATCTACGGGTGCCACCGAGGGACAAAAGTGCGAAACCACAGTGTTGGGAATTAACTAGACACTGGTGCTGCCTAACCAGGCCACTAGGCAGCAGTATACAGTAAGGATACTGCACTGAAGGCTGTTTGCACCACAGCTGACCTCTTCGTTAAAAGGATTAGTGGTGGCTCTGAGTTCATGACCGAGCAGAGGAGATGTATTTGAATTTTGCTTAAAAAGTGTGACTTGCTGGTGATTTGTTATTGAATTAGTAAGTCACTTAAATTGCCCCCATTTTGAAAACGTAGCTTTCTTAACTCTTGGATATGTTGTTCAGAATCAGAATCCCTTTATTAGTCCCACAGAGGGGAAACGTACATTGTTACAGCAGGATAGATAGAGACGGAAAGTAAAAATATCACACTGTTAGATAAAAGGGCATGCATATAGTATTTAACATGAAATAAAATAAAAGGAAAATGTACAGAAGTACACATTCAGGGTAAATAAGTCAGTTAGCAGTACTTGTAAATTAAAATAGGAGTAACATTGCTGTATACTGTGTGGTAGAGGGTTGATTGCAGTGGTCAAATAAAATAATATATTTAACATACAGTAGGCTATAGATTCTTGTTGGAATGGACAACCTAAGAAGTAGCAGCCAGTAGTAACTATTAGCATATAAGTTCTGTTGCACAACTGTATATGCAATTTTGCTTAAATACAATGATTGTAAACTAATGTTGAGTCAAGGATTTCACACATTAGCTTAGTGAGCTAAAGGCCTAAGTAAGAATAAACAGTCTCTTTATGTAAGTAGCACTTAACATGTTTGGATTATTCAGAGCTAACGTACTTGAAGAATTCTTGCTGTTCTGAATTTGTATTCTCTTGGTTACTTGCACTTATTGTGAGCTAAGAGAAAAGAGGGGTCGATACCTGATAGTCTCTTATATTCTTGAAATTAAGTCAAACTAGCAAGTGGACCTTGCCTGTTTTCAAGCTCAATAATCAACTTTGGAGCTTAAATTTTAAACCGGCATGGATAAATTGTTTTAAAGGGGATATTATTTTAAATCAATTAAAAAGACTAAGCTACTGAGCTTACCTGTCATTATATTACATTACATTGCATTTAGCTGACGCTTTTATCCAAAGCGACTTACAATAAGTGCATTCGACCAACAAGATACAAACTTGAAGAAAACAGAATCATATAAGTACATCAGGTTTCATAGAGCCAAAACATTTCAAGTGCTACTCAACAGGCTTTAGATAAGCCAGTCCTTTATTAGTATACAAGTGCTTTGTTAGCAATTCTTTGTCAAGCCATTGAATCTCATGCTTCATCCATCCTTAAAAGTAACATGATTGAAATTTCTGAAAAACTGTAACGAATGTGATTGTAGTTTCAAAATTCAACCAGTAAGTGTGTATCCATACAGAGTCCCATGAAGAAAGTTTGATGAAAACCTTTTTAACAAAAACAGGTGTTTATCAGGCAGGGAGGCTCTATTTCAATACACTATAGATTTGCATCATGGGAAGTGTAGTATGCAACCTTGTTCATGTAAAAATCATATCTCTGCCCCAACAGTTATTTTAAAATAGTTCCCTGTGTAATTTTTATTAAGTGCAATAATTATCTCCTAGATTGAAATTCAAGAGATTTCATATAAAGCTGTCTTCATGACTCTTAAAGAAAATCGCTGGTGTTTGTTGATGATAACTCTGTTCAATCAGAATATTAATCATTTGAACCAGCACACTTAAATGTCAGTGCACATATAATTTGATCTAGCTCTTTTGAGTGCCTGTGATTATAGAACAAGATGTGTTTGAACTGCTGCTACTGACATTCACACATATAGATCCTGTGGGTTGTGTATACACTGGACACACACACACGAACACATACATGACATATTACACATTTGGCCTAAAGCTATGTCAGCTTCCTGTTGAATGCATTCCAAAAGAACGGCTTCATATCCGCTCTATCCGTAAACATAACTCATCTCATGAGAAAGACATTTGTCTGCCGCAGAATAAACTCTCTTCCACAAGGTATGCTTTTAAACTTTGTGACACATTGTGTGCTAAAAATCAGTGGCTGCATTTCATGTCGTAGTGAGATTAACCTGAGATGGTCCGGCTGATTCCCTGGTTCAGCACCACTCTGAGAGAACAACCCCCAGTCTGTATTAAGTTATTAAAGCAAGGTAAATACTAATATAGAGGTCAGCCATCTGCCTGGAGTCTGCAGTTCACAATATAATAACATACACCTAATCAACTAATGTAAGCTATCTTGTTTCATGAATCAGGGCTTACAGTACGTGACCGTGTGACTGGGCACTTTGTTCAAATCCAATGTTGCCTTTCACGTCAAAGTCAAAATGTCAAACGTTCCTTGCAGATCTTTACAATATAAACCGTGCGTATAAGGCTTTATCACGTGCCCTGGTGGTAATGATAATGCACTCGTGTGGGATTGGAGTGGTGTGGTAGTAATGGCGTGTCTTTAGTTTGCGGATAGTTCACGGCTCATCGTATTGATTGTGTGTAAAGCCCCTCAGCCCAGACATGGACAGCAGATTAACAGGTTAACCTGATTTGTTTGGAGAAGGCTTTAACGGAACATTTGGGTAAAATGGATAAAGAGCGTTGGACACATTGTTGATGAAGCTGCTACAATATATTTAATTTATTTTTATAGTTTTTTAGAACAAATTAACCCTAACCCTAACTCTGTTTATTTTTTTACAATGAAGCAGAATGTAATCATTATTACAATACTAACCAAGACTTTTACAGTATTTTGAATGATAATTCAAGAATTAGGGTTAGGTATGTACAAGAAAAATGTTCGGGGAAGATTGATATGACAAAAGGATGTCAAAAGAAGCAACTTCAGAATCAGAACCTGTTTAATGCCAAGTAGGTTTCTACATACATTTCTGTACAGGATTTTGCTTTTGTCTATAAAGGTGCTTACATAAACACAGAAAGAGCAATGACATTTAAAATAAGAGCAAAATAATTGCAAAACTATTATGGAATAAAGAGGTAAGGTAAGGTAAGCATAAATATATAACAAAAATAAATACAATGAAAATATCACAAATTACTGTGAAAAAAATATGTACAATACATTTGATTTCAATGTGGAATTAAAAGTGTTTGTCATTTGCAAAAATAAAATAATAGAAAAATGTTCAAAGGTTCACAGTACAGAGTATAAGAAAGAGTTTGGAGCGTTCAGATACCAGGATAATTGCAAAGATGTGCATTAACGTAACACATTTAATAAGAAGAAATATCTTCTCCATGGCATCATAATAGTTAATTCAATGGGGGAAAATTGGTGGCAGTCTTGTTTTAGCTTAACCAATTGCAAAAATTCCAAACAATTTAACAGATAATTATGTCAAGTAAACAAAACCGCAAACAACATCTATGTTCTTTTCTGGTAATCTGCTCTCCATACTCAGAAGATGTCTGTGTCTTTCTCAGAACACAATTTAAACCCAATTCAAGCACTTAACATTTGGGCGCTGTCATTATCTGAAGTCATGATGGCTAAAGATGATAAAACATTACCTGCACATTAGAGAGATGAAGTGAGGTAAAAAGAGCACTTGAATCCAATTATTAGCAATCTGTTTTGGCTCAGAACGTTCTGCCAATACAATCCAACCATTTATGGCTGCTGAAAAAACAAAAAGATGTGAAGTTTGGAGCTGATTTTCAGTGCAGGATTGGAAACAGCAACTGTGTGTGTAATACCTTAAATGATGCCAAAAAAAGTGACACTGAGAGATAACAAAAAACTAAGATGGATAAACTGTCATAGAATTTGTGCATTATTACAATTGCTCAATTTTGATTTCTGAGGAAATGTACTGTGATTTGTGTGTCTTCAATTCTGGTGTTTTGGCCTCTTGTGAAAGAAAATCTTGTTCTCCCCGGGTTCTTTAAAAATAAATAGAAATAAAGACCATGCTGTCACACACAATGACCCTAGACAAAAAGCCCCCATGCTAGTGATCAGACAATGTAAACCTAATTAGGCAGAAAAGGAGGAGAAAGAAAAGTTAGATGGTGGTATTTGTGTGTCGCTGGGCTTTTAATTAGTATTTACCACCACACAAATCCATGTCATTTGGCAGAGGTCTGTTAGTGTGACGACAGCCTGTTTCCAATCAGGCGTTGATTTCTGCAACATGTTTTTCTTCAGAGAAACGAAATCAGAGTTCATCTAGATGTTGAAATAGGGTCTGGATATTTTTTGTGCAATTGCTTCTTTTTTTTCAATACTTAGAATAGTTGACATGCATAAACAGGGAAGAAGTATTTTCTGGTGAACCACTAGCAGTGAAAAGGAGCGAGGACAACGAGCTTCTTCTTCTGAGCAAAGAGAAACCCCTTTTTGCAGAAGGCTGTTCGAGCTACATTTCATCTTTTGTGTGCCAGATTGATGACCTATGAGATGGATGATGTTCTGTAGTGCTGTGTAGCATTGTCTTATCCCGCCCGACACAAAGAGGGGGAACACTTATCATCTCAGGCTTATGTATGGAGCAGGGGGCAGGGGTTGTCAGAATTGTGAAGAGGGTCCAGGAGGGTTGGGGGTGGCGGGGGTCCCCCAGATAAAGCGTGGTGGAGATGGGTTAATGACAGCGGAGGCAGATGGAGAAGGCCGTCTCCCATGACTACGCGGCCAAAAACCTCCATCCTGACGCCAGAGAAGGACAGATACAGAAAGGGAAGGAGAGAAATAGAGGAAGGATGCCAAAATAAGAGAGAAAAGTGAAACAAGATCCTGTGTGTGTGTGTGTGTGTGTGTGTGTGTGTGTGTGTGTGTGTGTGTGTGTGTGTGTGTGTGTTTGCAAGCCGCCAATCTCCATTATGGCGTGCTGTTTTAAGGTGTCTTTAAACAGGCGGGTTATTGTTTGCGTTAGCCTTTTAGCTGCACGGTGACTCGCTGGTGGCCCAGGTTAGAAGAGCTTGGTTTAGGATTAGGCTTTGGGACATTGTTTGGTGGGAATGGTGGTATGAATACAAAGGGATTAGTGCAAAGGGTTGCTTCATTGACTGTGAGTTTGTATGTGTGTGGGGGGTGGAGGGTGCTGAAGTTGATGGATGAATTGAATGGCCACCAAAAGAAAACATTTTGCTCTAATTAGGCAAAAACAAAATAAAAAAATGGGGGGGGAAATCAATAAAATGTGATAGAAACAAAACAGTTTAAACGACACAATGCCAGCAAACGTTATTGATGTTGTGACTTATTATAAAAGAGCAATTAAATATGAATAAATAAACTGTAAAAATGTGGATTCAATTTTTTCAAAGGGCCACCATTCATGAAAAGAGAAAAACACACATGTTTTCCTGAGTTCCCACGTTCCTTTCCTGATGCATGGAGAGGAAGAAAAGCCCTACCAGAATCACCTCAATGCCTTGAACCATGTGCCACCATTAGGGACACACAAAGAGAGATCTGACAAATGACCGTTTTAACGTCCCTCTTTGACTTTAATGAATTTATACGTTATCTGGCCCCCTAATGGAGACTGCGGTGGAGGGGCTGGCTGCAAGGCTATAACAAATGAAAAGCTCTGATTAGTGTAGAATGAGCTGAGAAAAAAATGCCATTCATCTTGGTTAGCATCCTCCTGTGCTCTTTTATGGGCCGCTGTTACAAGGACGGTGGAGCCGGGGGTGGCTGTCCCATTAGCGGCCGCAGAGTGGTCAGCGGCCCGGCGTTGACGGAGCGTCTGCCCGCTCCGCAGTTCAACGCTGTGAATGCCTCAGTGCGGCTTGACTCCTGAATAACCTTCCGAGGGACCGGGAGCCTCACCCCTGCATGACCCCACTGGAGAGGGGTGTGGGGGGGCTCCGGGGGGTACCCAGACCAGAACTCCCACTAGCAATAGGTAAACACTGGAGGGATCCCCTCAGAAAGAGACAGCAGGAGAGTTAAACAGTCAATTTAGATTTATAAGCCTTAAATTGGAATAGATTTATAAATTATAAGCCTTAAATTGGAATAGATTTTAAACAATGCCTGAAATTAGATTGTTTTGGTTCAATAAAAGGCTACATGTTCTACTCACACTAGCTAAAGGTAAAAACTGGAGAGATCCCAGAGACGCAGTAGTAGCCTATAAACTGTGTACATTTGCATTTTTATATGCATTTAGTTATAATACATTTTAAGCAATGCCTGACATTAGATACTTTTTGTATAATCACATAAACTACATATTTTTAAATGATAATTTGGTAGCTTTCTTCTCATACCCACACTAGCAATAGGTAAACACTGGAGAGATCCCCTCAGAGAGAGACTGCATGAGTGTAAAAAAAGTGTACATTTTTAAAGCATTCACTTATAATAAACATGAACTTATATGAATATATTTTATCTGGTTAAATAATAAGATACATATTTTTAAATGATAATTTGAAAAGCAGCTTTCTTTTCAAATTAACATTTCAGGAAATGTAACACAACATGCAAATATTGACATTAAATGTTGATCACAGCAGTGTATCACATGACTGCTAAAGAAAATCCCAACTACATAAAAGCAAGCCTTATTATGTTATTAAATCTAATCTAAAATGGTATATATATGCTATAAAAACTTGCATTACTATTAATGTTTAAATTAGCTTTTTAGACTTGCTGGCTGCAGTGGTTTTCAGTATTGAGTGAGATTTGTTCAGATTCTTCTGCGAGAAAAAAAACACGTTGCATCTAAAACCACCACCATTTTTTTTCTCTCTTTCCTTTTTTTTGTCGTGATTCCAGGAACTAGCCTAACATTTACTGTGAACACATTGCAACACGGTGTGTCTGCAGGAGAGAAGATGTTTCGTCATGATCGTGTTGGAGCTTGATATCAAACCCTGTTGTCATTGGGAGAAGCCCTGTTTGGCCGCCCCCCCTCGCCGGGCCCCTGTGTGGAGCCGCCTCGCAGAGTTCAGTCGGGCTGGGAGAGGAATGCGCTGGGATGCGGAGCAGCACCGACTGTAGGAAATCGACGCAACAACTCGCACAGTATGGAAAGCAATGATCCGTATTTACACCTCAGTAAGTACGCCCTCGACGGTTTATTTTGAGCCCAGTTTGGCCGCTGTGCTCCCCGCGAAACTGCTGCATTTTGTTTTGACTTACAACAGAGAGGGTTTGTTTCATGGCGTCTTCTCTCCAGCCTGCGAGCTGTGCGGACTTTAACCACCGTCTGTGAATCCGTTTTGTTGTGCTACTCCCTGTGTTAATAATCGTTTTGCAACTGTGCCAATTGAAACGAAAGCCAAATACAAAAGTCAGGTGATCTTGGTTGTGCCGGTCAGACAAGGTCAGAGGTTGGCACTTTAATTGCGTTTATGTAATTTATGGTGCTTGTCGCGCGTCTCTTGCTAAACTGTTTCAGACAGAAACACTATTTATTGGTCTGGGATTGCCCTTCGGATCCACAGAGAAATGCATGGTACAAGGGTTGAGAAATGGCGGATCATTAGTGATAAACAAACTTGTACTTTGTGGTAAAACAACAAGACGCGCCCAGGTCAGCGCTGTGTTCGGTGATTGACAGCATGATGAGATTTTGCTCAGTAAAGATGAACTCTGCTCTGACTGGCTGACAAATGTGCCCTTGAACCAGCTGATTGTATTTTTTTATATTTTTTATAATCATGATTTTTTTTGTGGGACTCTATGGAGTTGCAACATGTGGGCCACACACTTTACAAATCCTACTTACAGTGAGCTCCATAAGCTCCAGGCCTGATTTTCTAAGGTAAATCTTTTTTAGATTAGACTATCTGGATTGCATCTGGGGCTGTGAGAGCTTCACTGAGTCACACACTATATGCATCATTTATCATGTGAGGTTTTTTTCTCTCTTCCTCAAAGATTGTCAAACCCCTCTGCAGGAGAGATATACCATGTGCTCCTAAACCACTGTCTTCTGTGAGGGGGGGATTGAATAATAATGATGTGGCTTTACCAGGAGACATCTAAAACTGGTATTTGAAGATAAAACCGTGCAAACCCCTTTATGTTATCACGGATATCTCGGCACCATTTTGAGGGGCTGAAAATTGTTTCCATAATGAATGTGGCTCCCAGGGGAGGGAGACAGACATCTGGATGGGAGAGCATGCAGAGGGGAGCTGCAGGAGTAACAGAGCCGCCCCCCCCGGGCTACAGGCTTTCTTCTCTGTCTCTAAAGACTGACTCTGATCAGACAGCAGTGGCATCTCAAGTGTTATGTAGATCAGGACAGCATCAGACCAGTGCATACGTTTGTTCATGCTTTATTATTAAGTATTAGGGCTACAACTAACCTGTCTTCCCATAAAAGATCAATCTGCACATGATTTTCTGAGTAATCAGTTGATCTATCAATTCTGAGAAAATAATGACAAGAGTCTGAATGTCCGTCAGTCAAAAACCCCAAAGATATCCACTTTAATATAATGAAAACTAAGGAAAGCAGAACATCTCCATGTGAGAGGCATAAAACAACATTGTTTGCGCATGAAAAATTGCTTTAACGATGAATTGCTTATAAAAATTAACTGGCAATTATGTTTCTTTCCGTCAATTAAAAGATAAGTAGAATTATTGTTGCTGATTTATTAGATGTTTGTGAGTCATGTAGTCTCCTGCTGATACATACATCTCTGTTTACAGCTAGAAAAACATTTCACTAACACACTATAACTTTGCTGGTCAGTGAGGCCTTTTTAATTACATTTCCTGGTCTATATGACGTTTTTCAAGTTAGAAAGTATAGAAAGTTATCATTATAAAAACAGCTCATCTCCAAAATCTGATTAATGTTGGTTTCAAGAATGTTGTTGTTCCATTATGGTCCAACAGAAATGCAGTTGCAGCTTTCCCATCCCACAATGACTTGCAATCTGGGGCAAATGTAAAATATTTGTAATTTTTCTTTCTTCTGTCTCAAAGTAATGCTAATAAAATACTATCAGAACCCATATGAGGACAGTTCTTATCTTTTAGGGCAAAATCTTGTAAAAGCTTGTAGTCAAACCACTAAGCTGTCTCTGAGTGAAAGCCACAACCACTATTTTCATTTGTTCTTGTTTTGTCTCTGTGTTGGCCACAAGTATGATTTATGATGTATTTTTGCATCAACAGCCCACACACCAAAATATGTATGAAAACAGGGCCATAAACACGACTCCCTTCTTGAGTGTGAGAGGATCGCTCAAAGATTAATCTTTAATTAGTGTGCGGCCAAGGCGAAGAAAACTGATGATTGTGTTTGGATTGTTTCGAGCTGCACTTTTCCCAGAGATGTTGTGTTTCAGCAGGTTTGATGCAGGCTTTAAGTAGAATCAGCATTTTTCTCTATAAGCACTTCAGCATTTTTTTCAATTTTCTGTCAGTGGAAGTGATTCTAGACATGCCGACTACCACCCACTTGCTAATTTTGACAGTAAGAACATTTTTAGCTTGCAGATCGGGGGAAGTCATGGAAAAAAGAAGCACGGGATGGCAGAGGGAAGGGAGCAAAATAAAGGGGAAGTGTGTTTGGGGGGGTTGGAGAAAAAGGTCACTCCAGTTGATGTTAACTCTCATCACTTGCCAGGGGTCAGTGATTCACCTCTCAGGACACACCCAGAGGCAGAGAAGGACACACACACACACACACAGTCTCACACTTATGCCAAAACTTCACAGCTGCATATATACGCAGCTCCTATATCCTTAGCTTAATGCACAGCGAAATGCCACAGTGATATCATGTGACTTAAAGAATGTGGGTGGTTCTATTAGACTGTGAAGTGCAGCAGTATTAAACCGGCTCTCCAACAGCTTTGACCTCCCTCTTCTGCAGAGTTAAATAAACCACACAGGTAGAGGGGTGTGGCTCTGCAGGTATTTGCTCAAGAATTCAACCAGCAGTGCCAACACATGAATTAGCACACAATGCACACAATGGGTTTATTCCCAGGCCCTTTTTTGATTGAGTGTGTGTATTTATGTGTCTGTGTAAAAGAGGCTTCTCGTCCTGACTGTGTGAGTGGGTGCTAATTGTGAGAACAGGATGAGGGGAGAGAAGGAAGGAGGCCATTCTCTGGGCTAATTGCCAGTAATTAGTCATTAGTGAAGAAGGTCAGAGCCTTGATTTAATTCCAGCTTTAATCAAGCAAGAGAACCTTGAAAGGCCCGCGGGCTGCAGCGGTGTTAGGTTATGAGATGTTTATAGCTATTTCCTTGCTAATTATGCAGCAACAACATGAATGCCACACATAAACGCACAGCAACTCTAGTTTTCCACGCGGTGAACATTAAACATCCCTCTGATCTTGAGCATCCCTTTCAGTGTGCCTTTAATTAATGCATCAATCGCAAAGGCATAACAACAACATATATGGCTGCATTTCACATCAAATGTTTGAATACATTAGGGTCTCCTCCTTCTGTGTAGGAGGAAGAAGAAAAAGAGGAAAAAAACATACTTTATTAGTCCTCAGCAGGGAAATGACTTAATATACACGAACAGAGGATATACATGCACAAACAGTACCATGCAGGATATGGGAGTTGGCAAAGCGACGAGGCAGCCAGTTAGCGGGCGCCCATAGCAGTTGGGGGGTTAGGTTCCTTGCTCAAGGGTATACCTCGGCAGTGCTCAGGAGGTGAACTGGCACCTTTCCAGCTACCAGTCCACACTATTTTTTTCCGTCTGATCGGGACATGAACCAGCGACCCCTCGGTTCACAGGTCTTTATTTTTCTCATACTGCCTGTACTGCAGCACCTCTTTTCACTCTCTGTCTGAAACCAGAGCCCAGTCTGCTTTGATTGGTTAGCTGCTGTTGGGATTGGTCAACCCCTTAGAGATGTTCCGATATCTAAAATACTCTTAGACTGGACTCAGATGGTTTTATGTTATGATAATATTGCACTGTGTTATTGATTCATTGACATGTAAGCACTACTTTAAAGGTAGGGATAGGTAAGAATGGAGAAACCAGCTCGAGTGCGCTAGAATTTGAAAGTACGCAGCCGAAAAAAATCTCCCCCTTCCTTCAGACTTCCTTCCAGAGCCCCTCCTCCAACACACACGAACGCGCACATGATCAATGAGGGCCCCAGATAAGTTTGTGCACAGATGGAAGGCTGACAAGCAGGTAGGCCATCCAGTTATTTTAGCCGGGCCGGCTCAGATGATTGGTCGTGCTTTTTACAGCGCCACGGCTTCCACAGATGACATTTTTTTATATATTTATTGTCAAAGCGTTTAATGTATTCATTGCTATCGGGATGTTAAGAGCATTCCATGGAATATAACAAAAAGTGTTTCTGAAGTGAATTACCTACCCCACTTTTAATGTCGTAGTTTGTTGAAGTTGAGCTCATTCTACTTGTCTCATATTGCTTCAACAAAGTCCTTCCATTTCCTTTGTTTGCCTTTGGAACATTTCTCAATGGCCCCCCAGCTCTGTCGGTGGTGTTGGAGTTTGTACCATGTTATCTTGATTCTGGGGTCCAGTGTAATGCAACTCCTAGGATTGCTTTAATGCCATTTCTGAGTACATGGCCAATCCAGTTCCACCTTCTTTCATTTAAGTATGTCATATGACTGTGAAAAGGTTATCATCCGGGATGGTCAGATCAAATGTAGGAATCATGTTTGGAAGGGAATATTTTGTAACCCTAACCCTGCTGATATTTATTTATAAACTGATCATAGGTTTTGTAAGTGGAATCATAATGTAGCTTACTAGTAAATTGTCTTTAAAGATCTAGTATAAAATAGCACAAGAGAGAAATACTCAAACAATGGAGACATGTGTAAGTGAATGTAATTGCTGTGTGTGGTTAAACAACGTCCTTTCAAGGCTAAAACCAAAAGAAACATTTTTTTTTCTCTGGATGGATTGTTTGCTTGACAAAGAAATGACTCACCTTGGGCTGTTGGGACTTGTCATGAGCATTTGTCATTTTATAACTAAACAATAAGTCACTTCATATAAATAAAGAACAGATTTATTACAAAGGAAAACAATTGTTTGTTGCAACTTAATACCCAACTATAAGCACCATTAA